AAAAAAAAAAAAAAAAAAAAAAAATATATATATATATATATATATATATATATATATATAGCTTTTTTCTTAGATTCTAATTTCAGAAATGGATCTATCAAGCTATAGATTTATATGCAGCTACTGCCACCCCCAATCTCCAAGGGGCTAGGCCCTTCCCGCTATTTAATTACTCCAATCTCATATTGGAGAGAAGAGGGCAGACTTGGCTCATCTCCCTGGAGAACATTAGCCAGCAGTGATCTTGATTGTTCAGCAAGGTCTTTCAAGGAAAGCTTCAACTTTACAAGACTGACCATTATACAGGTCTGGGACCCCCAATACCCTTTAAGACTGTCCTTAGATATCTTAGCAAAACTGAGACTCTAATGGTGCCGAAGTGACTATGTAGGGACCAGAATTGCCCTGAGTCAGAAATGGAAAAGCCTTCAGCTTTTCATGTAGAGGGTGGTTGTGTTTGGCTTTTGAAGACAATAGCCCTAGCTCTTCCTAATCTCTCCTTTTGCCTGATTCAGACTCTCTCATATACCATTGTGTACTTAACTATGTCACCTTGAATCATTCTTTACACTTCCAAAAGTGTGATAAGCTTTTTCTCCTCAAATAGGCTATCAGATCTCGGGGGCAGGGAAAAGGTGACTTTAATGGGGCCTGTGTCTCTTAGAGTGTTCCAAGCTTGCAAAGGAAAATGGGCCTACCACTAATCTCTGAAGTAGAAGAAAGAGAACAGCCTACTATTACTGCAGAGAAAGGCGGGATGCGGGGAGAAAACAATGGCTGAATCTCACTGTGGAGAGAGGTTTTTCACCTTGATCCGCACTGCTAAGGTTGTTAGAGAGACAGCCAGAGAACACCCTTGTGGCTTCAGGCCTTCAGGATCTGCAAGTAAGGATATGAGCCCCACCTCATTCTTAGGTCCCAAGGGGTAGAAAATAGCTTTCTGTTGTCTGACCTCCTCTTCCACTCACTGGCAGGTCCTCTGAGACTACAAAGGCCAACACTGATGGGGGCAGCACTGCAGAGCTGCAGATGCCGCAGTTTCTGTTGTTTTCTTGTTTCCTGCAGACCATGTCTGCATGACCCTACTATGGTCTAATGCTGAAAGCCTTTTATGGCAAACAAAAAAAGCCAGACAATGCTGTCACTACCTCTTAGAATGCAGGGACAATAACAAGCAAACAGAGGACATGACAAAGCCCAATTCAGCTCGCAGTTCTGGGTAACTTATCCTTTTTGTAGAAATACTGGGCTATTCCTGCAGAAGACCATCTAGCTCATCCTTTGAGGCTTCTGGAAGAAAACATGCAGTTTCAGTTAACCAAATGTGATGATAATTAAGGCCATCCAGGAGTTAGGCCACATAGTGAAAAGTTCAAGTTGCAGATTTTGAAGCAGAATAGAAGTATTCATTTTCATAATACTGTAATACCAAACTAACCAAAACAAATAGTCCAATCAGGCTTTCTTCCTTTATCCAAGGCAGTCATTTGTAATGAACAAATACCTGTACATGAATAATAATTCTTTAGTTCCTTACTAATATAATACTTTTGAGATTTCACTCCCTTTCTATTTTATTATCTCCTGGGTTCTATTTTATGAATGTTTCTAAATTCTATTAGTTTAATCAAATGTAAACTTCAATTCTAGCTAGAATAAATTATTTCAAGCTCCTGGATTATTAGCAGTGTATTCAAAGGAGCTTTAATTGTACCTTGAAACTGAACCACACTATTTCGATTTTTTCCTACACTTTTTATTCACTGTCTCCTGCCTCTGTGCCCTTTGTGATCACACGCCCAGTATGTCCTATATAGTAAAACTGAAGATGCAGTGGCCTTTGTTGCAAGGAAAGAGCCAATCAATACCTTCACAGTACCTTAGAAGACAGGGAAAAATGGGAAAAAATAAATGTCCTATAACAAAGACACCATCTGTGTGATTTAGCACATGCACGTAGGATGGAAAAATGTTAAGGAAATGGAAATTTTCAAGTGGGACCTCATGGCTGCTGAGCAGATTAAGTGGTTTTTGTTAAGTGCTAAACCATCCATGAAAGCGAAAATTGATGCTGTCCGTGAGGTGACCTTTGATTGCAGGTACACAAGACTGATGTCTTGATATTGCAGAAGAAAAAAATCAAAGCAGTTAATTGCCTAGAGATTCATAACTGGGACATGAGGCGGGAGAGACATTTCTGAGATGGGAAGAACTGAGATCAGCACCGTGGACAGCGCCCCTACCATTGTTTCGCTAACGGTGTTAAAAAGCTTGCTTTGGGAAGAAATGTCACTAAAAAGGTCGACATTGGAACTGTCTGTGTGTCGGGGGAGGTAGAACGGGGCAGTTGTTACTATATCAATCATCACCCAGCTAGCTGGCTCCCAACCTCTACTCCTTCGAGGGCAAAAGTCAAGAAAATAGGACAGGACTCTTTCCGGTTTCAGTACAGCATTCTTCAACCCGAGGCAGACCGTACTCCGTGAATATCAATTCCAGGGCGCACGGGAAGCCTTTCAAAGCCAGCCAAACAAGCCAGATAGCCGAGACAGCGCTGCCGACCGTGGGGAGGCTGTAAATTGCCTCCGTTTGGAATCACTCCCACTTTGGGTGGGGGACTGTTCTCCAGGTCGCCAGTGTGTGTACGCCCACTTGCTGACAGAGAGGCATAGTGAGATTTTCGGACTCCGAAGTTTAAGGGCTTCTTAGAAAGGCTCGAAGAGGAACATACATGAGGGGCCGGGAAAGAAGACCCTAAAATTAACAGTGGAGACTCCAGGGCTCTTTGTTTGCCGATGCCTCCAACCGGGGCTCTTCTCTTCCCTCCTTTACCCTCCCCTCAGTTCCTAGGACCCCAATTTAACCAGAGAGCGCAGGTACGCGCGGGAGAGGACAGGACGCCCCTCCCGGTGCAGCGCCCCGACCCTTACCTGGTAGCCGGCCACCTCAGCATTGTGCCGCTCCTCCAACTCCAGGATCTGCCTCTCCAAGGACTCATTGGCCCCACGCAGGCCCTCAATCTCGATGGTGCGTGCCTGCAGCTGGCGCCGGTACTCGTGGATCTCCTCGCGGCTGGCCCGGATGGCCTCGGTGCTGCGCGCTGCCTGCTCGTTCAGGTTGGCGAACTTGGACTTGTACCATTCCTCGGCTGACTGCAGGTTCTTAGCGGCCAGGGACTCATACTGGGCGCGGATCTCCCTCAGCGCCGAGCTCAGGTCTGGCTTAGCCACAGCCAGAAGACAGGGAAAAATGGGAAAAAATAAATGTCCTATAACAAAGACACCATCTGTGTGATTTAGCACATGCACGTAGGATGGAAAAATGTTAAGGAAATGGAAATTTTCAAGTGGGACCTCATGGCTGCTGAGCAGATTAAGTGGTTTTTGTTAAGTGCTAAACCATCCATGAAAGCGAAAATTGATGCTGTCCGTGAGGTGACCTTTGATTGCAGGTACACAAGACTGATGTCTTGATATTGCAGAAGAAAAAAATCAAAGCAGTTAATTGCCTAGAGATTCATAACTGGGACATGAGGCGGGAGAGACATTTCTGAGATGGGAAGAACTGAGATCAGCACCGTGGACAGCGCCCCTACCATTGTTTCGCTAACGGTGTTAAAAAGAGCAGGGCCTGCGCGCGCGCCGAGCTCGCCTCCTCCAGCTGCGCGCGCAGGTCGCGCAGCTCGCGCTGGAAGAGCTCGCCGACGCGCGAGGGCTCAGCGTGGCGCTGCCGCAGCGCTGCCAGCTCGGCCTCGAGCGCGCGGTTCTGCGTCTCCAGCTGGTGCACCTTCTCGATGAACACGGCGAAGCGGTCGTTGAGGCCCTGCAGCTGCTCCTTCTCGTTGGTGCGGATGATCTTGTACTCGTTGGTGCGCGCCGCCGCCTGGCTCAGGTCCAGCCCGTCGGACGCTGGCGGCCGGCGGTAGGCCAGGCCCAGGCCGAGCGACGAGGCCGAGGAGCAGGCGGCCGAGGAGGGCACATTGCAGCGGGACAGCGACTGCGAGCGGAAGCTGCCTGCGCCACCAGCCCCGGAGAGGCGCGCGGACAGGCGAGAGCCGTCCCCGAACACCTTGCGGTAGGAGGAGGTGGAGCACAGGTAGTGCTCGGAGCCGAAGCTCATGGTGCCGGGATCAGGGCCGGGCGTATGGCTGCGGCTGGAGCTACAGAGAAAGAGAGGCGCGGCAGGCAGGGCGCGGCAGGGCGGTGTGCGCCGGCTTTTAAGGGGCTGGGGCCGGGGCGGCGCGTTGGGGGCGGAGCTCCTGCTCTGGGTCTGGCGCCGAGAGCGAAGGGGGGCATCCCGGAGCAGGGGCGGGGAGCGCAGTGACGACCGCAGCTGCGCGCGCGGCCGATCTGGGGAGCCGCCCCGTGCCCCCGGCGCTTCCCCCAGGGAATCGACTGCTTTGGAAGTGACTGAATGGCTGGGGTTTCCCATCCGGAAACCACACAGCTCCGTCGCGTCCCTTGACCCTGTCCTCCCTTTCCTCTTCAGCCCACTGGGAGAATTAGGGTTTTCTGGAGTTTTCTGGGAGGTGTCCCCTACGCCCATCCCCACCCTGGAGTTCCCGAGGGTGAGGCCCAGTTTTTCCGGTTGGGGAGGGGGTCCGCTGGGCGAGGCCTTGTCCCCTCCCTCAGGCGGCCCGGGGTTCCCCGGGCTAAAAGTGGGGCTCCGTCAGAGAGCATCTTTCCAGCAGTTCCTCTGTAGCTGCGCGGGAGCGCCCGGGGCGGGAGGATGCGGGGAAAGGCTGCGACGCCCCCGGAAGAGAGGAGAGACCGGTAGAGAATGTGAGCCCGAGCTTGGGAGAGTGGAAAGAAGCGGAGGTAGAGAGAAGAGGGGCCAGGCCCGGAAAAGGAGGCGGCGCTGGGAACTACTGGGGCTCATCCATAGCGTGGCACAGACTAGGACCACAGCTGGCGACGAGGGAGAAGCAGACTTTTGTTTTTAAAACATTATGTTTTGGAACGTTTCAAAATGAGCATTTTTAAACCAGGATGTTTCACCTAAAAGGAAATTGGATTTCTAGCATCTGCAGAAAATGGGAGGAGGTGGGATGGCCACAGTGGGCAGAGCTCAGTGTGCCCACCGGTTCACCACAGTCCTCACCATTCTCCATTGAATTATGGCCACCTTCTTAATTCATTTACTTTACCTGTCTGGCTCCACAGGCATTTGAAATTCCAGTCTGGGTAAATCCTGTAGGACCGGTCCTCTTCTGGCCTTGGGGAGCCACTTCCTGTAGAGATCTCTCTTTGGACAGAAGAGGTCCCTGAAAACAGATTAAACTCCAGCAGTGGGGAAGAGTGCTGGTGACCAAACTGGCCTCTTACCACACAGTGGGGGAATCAAAGAATGGGATCGGGAAAGATGAAGGCCGGGAGGAGGGGTCAGTGTGGCACTGTAGTATGTACTTGCCTCCAAGCTTATAACATCTCTCAGGATATGGATATGGCTTTGGGGAGGGAGTAAGAAGACATTTTCAGTTATTTTCCACAATTCCAGACTAAGGGCCTTTTCTGATCTCGGAATCTCAAGGATGTAGTCCTAGGATAAGTTTTACTTCACTTCAGGGAAGGTGGGGATGGTATTACCCAGGACAGGCCACCAAAGGAATGGGGAAAAGGAATCTTATGGGACTTTGATGCGTATCTCTTGGCTTTGTGCTTGATGTCATGGAAAATGGTCAGGCTCTGCCACATCTTGTCCATCTGTTTCCTCATCACAGAACAAAGACCCGAGCTGGAGGGGCTCAATTTTGAGGTCTTTGGGCTCAGAAAGACCTGGTGAGGTGAAGGATGGAAGAGTGCTGACACCACTGAATAATTACTGCCTGCCAGCCATTGTGCCAGCACTTTTGCATAGGTTTACCACCTTCTGGCTACTATTCAAGATGGCCCTCATCCCCGTCTTACAGATAAGACACCAAGGCTCAGGTGCAGCACTCTGTACAAAGTCACCAGCAAGCAAAAACACACATACATTCTTTCCTTACTACATAATTCTGCTTCTTAGTGCAACGAGACTCTTGAAGTCTCATTAATTTCCATGCAGCCAGAATAGGGTTAAGTGGGCTTCAGAAAAGTTTTTGCCAACAACAAATTAGCAGGCTGGTTTGTAATTGAAAGACATTGGACTCAGAGTCAGAGATGATGGGTTTGAATTGCAGCTTCTGCCACTTACTAAGCATGTGGGGAACACTTACTTCCCCAGGCTCATTAAAGATTTAGCTGATGCATGTGAAGTTACTTTGCAAACTGTACAGGTATGAGGGGTTATTGTCATCATCCTCTTTTGACTAAAAGGACACTACTTCACATCCACCAGCAACAGGATATGAGTTGGGTTTAGTTAGAAGACTGCAAGAAACTGACCACCACACCCTTGCATGGGCTTCCATGCTGCTCCTTGGGAAAGAGAATACAGCCAACCTTGATTGTGGTACCAGACCCTGCATGAACTTGGCAAAGTGGAAACAACCAGACAATTTGAATTAACAGATAATTAAAAGATCTTCCTTCTGGGCTGTAGTTCCAATCTCATTTCAACCATGTTACTCAGGACTACTGAAAGCCAGCAAAATGTCCTGGTTGGAGGTCCACCTTCCTTTCCCTTTCAATCCTCCAATAGAAGTACCACCCCAAAAACAAAACACACATAGAACAGAAGAAAGTCAGGCAAAAGGCCTAAATAATCCAACAAAGTGGCAGTGGCCCTAGAAGATCTAGAGTGGGCTGCATTTTGCATTTTTTTCAGCAGCTCACCTGAGATTCCAAACTGAGCTTTCACTGTGGCACTTATACTTCCTTTTTCTTGGCATCCCACAGGCCCAGATGTTTGGGTTCAATAATTTTAACACAAAGCTGTCCTAGAAGGAGTAATATTGGCTGAGCCTCAATCTATAATGCCTTCCAGCTGGCCAGGTTTCCTGAGGGAGTGCCGTGTGTGTGCTGTGTGTCTCTTCCTCTAATGCTCAGGCACCGCAGACACGTTGGTCAGTCATCCCCAGTTCTCCATCATGCCACGTCCTCCACAGTCTCTCCGCAGCATTTAGCAGTGCTGACCACTCTCCTTGGTTTCAGGGCCTCAGTTCTTGGCCTTCTACTCTTCCCTCATAAAACCTCTTTTTCAGGGGCCGGCCCGGTGGCGCACTGGATAGTGCGCCGCTTGGGAAGCGCGGCGGCGCTCCCGTCCGAGGGTTCGGATCCCACATACAGACCGGCTCCCGCTCACTGGCTGAGCGAGGCGAGGGAGCAACGCCGAGGCTTGCGATCCCGTTGCCGGTCCCCCGTCCGGTGCGGGGGCAACACTGAGGGTTGCGATCCGTTGCCGGACACGGAAAAAAAAAAAAAAAAAAAAAAAAAAAAAAAAAAAAAAAAAACCCTTTTTTAAATTTTTTATTTTCCCAAAGAAAGGGGGGGTTGGGGGAAAATTTC